TCAAACTCTTGGCAATCCTCCTGCCTCAGCCTCCTAGTGATGACATTATAGGTGTGTGCCTCCACTCCCAGCTTATTTTTCCCATCTGTTTTCTCCTTTAATCTTGTTAGCTGAGGGAAGTAGATACTGTTTTCTCTATTCATTAGGTTGAGGATGAAAAAAATCTAGCTGCTCAGAAAGTTTATGTAACTTGCTTCAGGTTATTAAACAGTAAATTGTGAAAGTAATTTGTGTTTATTTCTAAAATGAAGTTACTTTCACAGCTTTTGAGATACAAGCTTAGTTTACTCCAGTGGTTCTCAAAGGTGTTTCTCTGCCCACAGCATCAGCTCATCTGGAAACCTGCTAAAATGGAAATTATTTCTCCCTCAGCCCAGACTTTCCAAATCAGAAACTCTGGAACTGGAGTACTGTCTGACTTAACTAACTTCTGGGATTTCATTGCGCAGTGAGGTCTGAGAACCACTGGTTTATCTCTGTCCTCTTGAGCCTATTCTGCCTTTCATCTACCAATAGCAACTGCCTTAGAGCTTTAGTACAAGCAGGAAGATGTTTTTGGTCATCCCGTGTGTACCCTACCTCCTTCAGATTCAGCACATTTATGCCCTCTCTTAGTTTTTGACTTTTTGGATAATAAAACATTTCTAGCCACTGCCCTTTGCAGTAGTTTTGATGAGTGTCCCTTAGGTCCATGCATTGAAGGCTTGGTCCCCAGGGTGGCATTATTGGGAAGTGTGGAGCCTTTGGGAGGTAAAGGCTGGTGGGAGGTTGTTAGATCATTGAGGGAGGACCTCTGAAGGAGATACACTACCCTTTCCCCTCCTCTTCTTGGTCCATGAGATGAACAGTTTTCTCTGCCATGTTCTTCCTGCAGTTCTCCTCCAGAGACCCAAAGCAGCAGGTCTGTCTAATCTTGAACTGGAAGTTTCAAAACCATAAGCCAAAATAAACCCTTTCTCTTTATAAGTTAATTGTCTTGGGTATTAAGTTATAGTGATGCAAAGCTAACACGTACACCCTTGTTTCTTCACCTGCTCCAAGAGGCAAATAGATGACTTGGGAAACTCACTGAGATTTTATAAGAAAAAGCTTATTTAACTTTGCCAACAAATGTCACACAGGTCAACTAACCCTTATCCCAAACAATAAGTGTTCAGATTTTAGATGGTTCAGATTTTGGAATATTTACATGATAGGTCCGAGTCTACAAAATTCATGGATGTTTTATATACACCTTACACACATAGCCTGAAGGTAATTTTACATACTCTTTTAAATAATTTGCATTTGCAACAGTTTTAACAGCATGGAAGTTTCCACTTGTGGCATCATATCAGCACAAGTTTTGGAATTTGGAAATCTTACAGTTTTGTTTCTTTGGATTAGGGGCACCTCTATCATGTGATGAAAAGGTGATGGATAACACAGCACAGCTGCTGCTGCTGCTGATAACCACACTTGACATGGGGAGAAAGTCCCTTCATTTGACTCTGACAGCTGCCGGTGAGCCACATGAGATGATGCTCTCCATTTCATGGAAGGGAAGGTGCAGGCTGAGAGTGACAACTGAATTATCCAGGGACACAGCGCTGCGTTGTAGCAAAGCCCATGCCTCCTACTCAGAAGCCTGTGATTTTTTTCTGAGTCAGGGCAGGTGGCTGATGGGGAGACAGAAGAGTTGGACTGAGACCAGCCTCAGGGCCTCTGGTGCTGCATCAGTCAGAACCGCAGAGCTGGGAGAGGGTGACGTGTAGTCCTTTACCAAGCCAGCAGCAGCCCTGCCTTCTGGGCTTTTTCATGTCTGTGGGAGGGAGAGATAAATGGAGGTGGAGGTGGGGCTGGGAGGGGGTTAAATCAGAATCACAAATCAGAATGAAAAGGGCAGAAAGAAAATCAAAGATAGGTGTGAATCCTTTGGCCTGTACCCCCCTCCCCACTCCTGTCCCTCACCTAGATGATATATATTTGCTTGCCTGCCTTGAGGTCACTTCCCTGCACAGGCCTAGTCTCTCTCTCCATATTGTGCTGTTCTCCTCTGAAATCACATCCTCATTTTGAACACCAGATCCCAAATGGCTCCACTCCCATCCAAGTAGGCACAGGGCTCAGCCCTCCAGGAGGCAAGATCCAGACAGGCAGCAAGGAGGATAACAAGAAACTGCTCTCTCTCTCTCTCTCTCTCTCTCTCTCTCTCTCTCTCTCTCTCTGTTTAAAGGAGTCTACCTGTGTCTCTTCTTCAAGGAGCTGTTTACAAAAGGAACTGTTGAGTATGGTGACAACACACAAGTCATCCCTCACTATTTGAGGAGAATCATGGGAGGTTGTAAATGTGTTTCAGGGGGCAGGATGGAGAATGAACCATGACTAATGTCTGAAATCCTATCGATTGAGTTCTGATGAGGAGCCAGGTGAAGAGCTGTGTATGCATGTGAGTGCGCGCGTGTGCGTGTGTGTGTATACTCCTCTTATGTGCTAGTGCAAAGTGAGATGGGGTGAGAGCAGAAGTCCTCATGCTCCACCACCTTGCAGGGTAGAGATCATGTGTCTTCTACAGATCAGGAAATAGGGGTTTAGGGAGAACTGAGTGACCTGTCCAGAAGACACAGCCAGTAAGGAGCAGAGATGAGATCTGAGCCAGTTGCTCTCTCCCAAGTGTATGCCCCTCTGTGGAGCCACAGTCTACTCTCTGAATGAAGACTGAGTTGCGATCCTCATAGATTCGAGCCCTTAAAAAGAAACTAGATTAGCTTAAAGCACTTCCCATCTTATGCATTCTGATTTTGAGATCCCCTCATCTACCCCCTCCTTTGTCTGGTAAATTAGATGAATTAGACATTAATCATCTCTTCTTTTTACACTTTTCTCAGAAGAGAGTGAGAATTGATTTCATTTCTAACTCCAGCACGTGACTGCTATTGCCAGTGCACACTCAGTGATGAGTTTTACTGCTTTTCTGTAATTGTGCTTGGTCTTCGGACATGAGGGGCTAGCAATCCATACAGTAATGCACACTTTTTGGTTTCATCTCGGGTAATACCAATGATAACAATAATAACAGCAGAAACAACTGATCTCCTAGAAGTTCTCTAATCTGAGAAGGTAAGTATTATTTTCATTATCTGCCTTAATTTCTTCCATCTTTGTAAGTAAGGAGGAGAAACAGGCTAGGGAGGCCAGGTATCTTAAGATCATATGACTCTCAAGTAATGCAGCCAGTTTGAAGCTAGTCTTGTTTGAAGTAGGAGGTGTAACTCAGTGGGCCTGCTTGACTAGTGTTAGATTTGTTACAGTGATTTTTGTTTTGAAAAATTTCAAAAATCTGAAAAGGTGAAAGAATAGAACAATGAACTCAGCTGCTAGATAGTCTTCTTCATCCACATTTACCCAATATTAGCATTCAGTTACACTTGCTATTGAATATTTTAAGAAGCCCAGTGAGACCCTTAACTCCCTCTTAACAGCAGAAGTAAACTTTCTGTTTGAGTTTCCCTAAGGGGCCACATGTACTCATGGATTTGGGTCTAATGGCCAGTTCATCACTCCTGAATGTTACAAGCCAGAGCAGAAGGGGAAAGATCTCAGAAAACAGGTAAGATTTACATTTTCATGTCATTTTTCTATTAAAAGTTACACATACATTTATTTCTTGTAGGCACCTCAGTGTAGTATGTACACACACACACACACACACACACACACACACTCACACAAACACTGTAGTGGACTTCAATTATTTGCTCAAAACGGTAATGCCAATGACAACACAGAAGTTCATCCTTATCTACAGTTTAGTTTCTGAGGTTTTAGTTACACTTGGTCAATCTTGGTCTGAGTCATTGGTAACATCATCATCACAAGAAGGGTGAGTACAATCAATAAGATATTCTAAGAGAGAGAGAAAGTGAGAATATTTACATAATTTTATTCCACTATATTGTTATAATTGTCCTACTTTATTATTCATTCTTGTTGCAAATCTCTTACTGTGTGTGTCTAATATATAAATTAAGCTTTATTATAGGTATGTTTATGTAGAAAAAACAGTATATGTAGGGTTTGGTGCTGTCTATGGTTTTAGACATCTATAGGGATCTTAGACTGTATTCCCCCGATAACTGGGGACAGCCATGATAATGACCATGTCGATAGGATCACAGCATGTACCGAGAGTTATATATATACCAGGTAGTCGTCTAAGTGCATTTACTCCTCATAACAACTAAGAAGTAGGAATGATTGTTGTCTCTGTTTTTCAGAGAGGAAATTGAAGCTTAAAAGATTTATTAACCTGACTATGATCACAAAGCTAGTAAGCAGCCAAGCTGGGGTCCAAACCCAGGAGTCTGACTCAGAGCCAACACTTTTCATTGTTAAGCTGTACCAGCCCTCAGGCACGTGGATGGGCATGTGCTTGAGCCTTGAAATTGACCCCCCTCTGTGTATTTTCAAGCTAAGAGAAATTTTTTTGCACCGAAGAGTGGTTTTCTGCAGAGGTTTCTGGTTAATATTCTGAAGGAATTGAATAAGTTAAATTTATATTAATCATCTGTCATTTTAATTTGATAATGACTTATGAAACTGGATATAAATACATTTAAGATCACTGAGATAGCTTTCATATAACCAAACAGTTATAAAGATAAGAAATTTACCTTTATAGTCACGAATATTTAAAAGGCATCAATATCAACAATTGAAATACAACATCAGGCTCCAGAACATTTTTTTTCCTTTATTTATTATTATTATTATTATTGTTATTATTTTTTGGTATCAGAGATTGAACTCGGGTCCTTGTGCTTGCAAGGCAGGCCACCGAACCGCTGAGGTAAATCCCCGGCCCTATTTTTTCCTTTTAAAAAAGAGTCTATTTCTTTAATTTGACTAACAATATTTTTGTTCTAGAAATGAGATGACCATCTCTTTCAGAATATATGGCAACTGCTTCCTCATTTTGCGAGGCTAGGTTTAGGAGACTTACGGTAAAGTCATGCTTCCAAGGAGATCAGTACAAAAACCCAGGCTTCTGCCGGCAGTTTCTGGAACAGATAAGCTTTCCATCTGGCAGTGGAGCTGTTTACTTTTTCTCCAGGAGATGTTTATAATACAAAACTCTCAAGTAGGGTATTTATTTGTTTTCCCTGTGCTTCTTCTGGTTTTTGGTGGTGTTGGCGAGGGGCAAGAAGAATAAAATGAGCTGATTATTTCAGGATCATGGAAAACATGGAACCGAAGCTCAAAAATGCCCCCTACTTTCGATGTGAGAAGGGAAACGATTTGATTCCCTTGTGCCAGAAGTGTGAAACGTGTATCTTAGCATGGAAGATCTTTTCTACCAAAGAGTGGTTCCAAAGGATCAATGGTATATTGCAGAGGAAGTTTCTAGTTAGCATTCTACAGCAGTTAAATAGCTTGTATTTGTTATACTATTTCCAAAATATCCTGCAGGCCACCCAGGGAAAGGATTTCATCTATAACAGGTCTCGGATTAACCTCAGCAGGAAGGAGGGGAAAGTTGTGAAGTCCACCTCACACCAAATGTCGGATAAAATGGTGGAACAAGAGATGAAGGAGATCTTGTACTGGTTTGGTGCCAGTACCCACCGGACTAAGGCAAATTACACTCTCCTGCTGCTGCAGATGTGTGACCCCAAATTGCTGCTCACTGCTTCTGCTGTGATCAGAGCTCTGTTTCAGAGAGAGTGGAACAAGATCACAGGTAAACAAGGACACACATTGTGAGACATGAGGGCCCCTGAGACCAGGAAGCAAGGCCTCGGGAGCCAGTAAAGAGACTCAGGTGGAGACAGTGCAGAATACAAGATAGGATTGTTTGAGCTGTGTCTTGATACTCAATCCTGTTTACCAAAAAAGAAATTTCTGAGTGTGACTTCCTTCTAGAAAACTATAAAATCACACAAGCAAAGGAAGTGCAGAACTTTTCACTGTGAGGATTTAAAATAGATTTCTGCACACTTTCGGTCCAGAAGTGGCTGGTCCCTACCACTGACCGGCTAAATACTAGGGTCCTTTCTTTGCTGCCTTAGGAATTAGACTGGACTTGAGAGAGATGGAAAAGGGAAGATGCTAAATTGTATTACTTTTCTCAGCTGCCCTGCACAGAAACCAGGCCAAGGGATCAAAACTTAGGATTTATCAAATATCCATTCCATCATACTCCTTGCTTTATGCATAAATTGAAACCTCAAAGCAGAGTTAATTTAAAGCTGGAGGTAGCTAACAGTCCAAATAAGTCCAGGGCATAGTTCTCAGACTGTAGCTTGTATTAGTCTCTGGGAGGGCTGTTAAAATATATATTGTTGAGCTTCTCTGCCAAAACTTCCAACTCAGCCATGCAAGATTATGTATTTCTAACAAATTTCCAGTTGTCATTGGTATTTCTGGGTAAGGGACTTTGAGCGTCATTTGCATAGGGTGTTGATGGGAGAATCTTGGAAATGTTTGGTCAGCTGGTTCAGGGAAGCAAACAAACAACAACAAAAACAAAAAACAAAACAAAACCAGAAGAGATGTAAGACACTTGGGATTAGGAGTGAGTTGAATGCAAGTACCCTCTCCCAAGCATCTTTGTTTTATTTTGGAGACATACATGAGGTGCTTCTGTGGTTCACTTGCAAAGGCATCACACTCCTTGGGAATTGGCTATTTATATTACAGTTGTATAAGTCTAGTTATAGTTTGTGGCAACCTTCCTATTTTCTTAGGAGAAAATTTTCTCTTAAAAAGTTAAGTTTCTGCCTAGTGTGGTGGAATATCCCATAATCCCAGCACTCTGGAAGACTGAGGCAGAAAGGTTGCAAATTTCAGCCCAGCCTTGGGCAACTTAGAAAGACCCTGTCTTGAAAAAAAGTTAAATTTTCTAATGTGGTACAAGGGCAGTTATTCATATCACTGAAGAAAATTCAGCAAGAGCTTCAGAGAAATAGTCCCAAGCTTGTCTCATTCTTTCCTTATGTCCAAAACTCTAATACATTTTGCACTGTAGATTGGTGGCAATGTCTATAGGGGATTTTTGGAGATTATTGCATAGAAACTCGAGGCCCCAAATAAAAATAGACATAACTTTTCTGGTCTGTTTTGTGTATAAAGTTGTTTCTGTAATTCTGGGGGATGGACTCCAGAATTTCCTTCGAATAGCAAGGCCTGTGGATGCTCATGTTCCTGATGTAAAATTGTGCAGCATTTGCATAAAGACTTCGCAGCTCTCCCATATCCTTTAATAATTTCTAGATAAATTATAATACCGAATACAATACAAATAATATATGAGTACTTTTTAATGCTGTATCATTTAGGGAACATTGGAAATAACAAAGTCTGAACATGTTTATGACAGATGCAATATTTTTCTGAATATTTTCAATCTGTGGTTAGTTGAATCTGAGGAAGTAGAAAATACAGATATGAAAGATTTAATGTACTTAAAAGAAAGAAAAATAAATAAAACCATTTCTCCCTATCCCATTTTCCTCCACATACCTGCTTGAAGGGTAAACTTGTCTTGGTTTCTCATTCTTCAGGGTTCAGTGAGGACTCCATTGATGTGGTTTTTTCCCCTGAGAAAGACTACGACTCCAAGTTGGAAACCGCACATATCCATTGGACAACAAGAACAAGGCCCACATCCTTCCCTTTGTCTAGATCCTTAGGAAATAAAAAAGTACTTGAAAATGCAGAGAGAGAAGCAACTATTGGTAAGTCATCTTTTGGTAAGAGAGCCAATATAGACAGTCACTGATTTAGATGGTTCCACTTATAAGTTTTGTTTTTAATTTACAGTGGGCTTATTGGGACATAACACCAGCCTCGGTCAGGAAGCTATGAGTTATGAGTTATTAAATGCATTTTTTACCAACAGCATTTTTACTTACAATGGATTTGAGGGGTGTAACCCTGTGTAAGTGGAAGAGTCTATGAGAATGGGAAGTCTCCAACCCAGGTAGAGGGGTTGACAAGGTAATAGCATCCAGAGATAAAAGATTTTGGAAACTAATACCCATTCAGCACCTATAGTCTGTTGGCTTCTTTGTTATTCTTTTCCTTGTTTAATAATCACAGCTGGTCTGAGGGGAGATGGGAAGGGGGTGCTGGGGGATTAGACCCAGAGCCCTACACTTGTTGAATAAGTGTTCTCTCACTGGGCCACACCCCCAGACCAACTAATAGGATTTGCCCCTTCCTCCTCCCACTGGCTGAGTGTGTGTGTGTGTGTGTGTGTGTGTGTGTGTGTGTGTATTACTGGGGATTGTACCCAGGATCTTGTGCTAGGCAAGCACTCTGGCCTTGAGCAACGTCCCTACACCTTCTTTATTTTGTTTTATGATAGCGTCTCACTAAATTGTTCAGCCTGGTCATGAACTTGTGAACCTCCTGCCTCAGCTTCCTGAGTAGCTGAGATTATAGGCATGTGCTGCCATGGATACCCTTCCTCTTTAAAATTGTTTGACATTTTTTTTCTCTGCTGGGATATTTTCAAGAAAATTCCAGACACAATGCCATTTCAGATTTTGCTACTATAGATATCACCCTGAACTAAGAAGGCTGAAAAGTGCTGGTATGTTTGGGTCAGGTAGTTCTATTTCCATGTCGCAGAAAAGATGAGAACAGTCCAGTGGCCTCAGGATATTGTCAGAGGAGCTTTATTTTGGGGGAGAGCTTCTGATACAAATTTGTTCTGGCTCTAGAATTACTACAGAGACAACTCAGTCATTCCCCCTTTTCTGGCTTCACAGAGGAACAATGGAAGAGTTCGCTCCAGTGTATTTTTGAGATGAATAAACTATTTTCCAGAAAAGCAGGTAGGTCCGGGCTGAGGGACGATCCCTGCAATCTACTGATGGACCTGGATGATGTCAGAGACCTGTCTTCTGGGTTTAGCAAATACCGCGACTTCATCCGTGACCTGCCTGTCCACCTCTCCAAGTACATTCTAAGTATGCTGGGGTGGATGAAAGGATTTCTAAGAGAGCCCCACTCCTGGCCCAGTTCTGGGGTTTCGAGTCCATCTTTCTCCTTTTTCCCCAGGAATGCTGGACAAAAACACCCTAAACAAATGTGCTTCTGTGAGTCAGTACTGGGCCACCCTAGCTCAGCAAGTCAAGATGGACCTGTCCATGCACATCTTCATTCAGAACCAGATTGTCCTCTTGCAGGTACTTCTGATGTGGGAGGGCATGTCTAGAAGCCAGCTTCATTTCTCTGCAGAGGTTGGCATGACCATGAGCCTTTCCATCTTGCTAGGAGGCCCTCAGATGGCCTCCCACTCTGCATCTGCACCTTCTTAGGCTATAGCAGCCACTTCCTTGAGGTTGGGACTCTACTGACTGCTACTTGCCTTCTCATTGTCAGTGCATCTAGCGGGAACAACTTGGGTAGAAACCTCTGTGGAGCAGATATGCAGGACCTTTCCAACACCTCACAAAGCTGGGGTGTAGCTCAGGGGTGAAGTGCTTGCATAGCGTGTGTAAGGCCACGGGTTCTATCTCCAGAACCAAAAGCAAAACAAACCTCACAGAGCAAGGAATTCTCTTCCCTCCCTTCAGAGAGTTATCTTGCAGTTTATACAATAAGAAAGCCATGAATATGTTTCTGAATCAGTCTCATGGAACCTAATAGTTTATAGCACCACAAAGTATGTTTAGAATAACATATTTCCTCTTGACAGCAATCCTATCGGAATTTTTACTTTATGGGTTTTTGGCTGAAGCTTAACCCTAAGCAATCTTGGTACCCTGGGTTGGTTTCTTTCTTTTCTTTCTTTCTTTCTTTCTTTCTTTCTTTCTTTCTTTCTTTCTTTCTTTCTTTCTTTCTTTCTTTCTTTCTTCAGCAGAGATAGATGACAGAGAATGAGAGGAAGCAGGGGTGGTAAGGCAGGCTATTGTTTAGAAATTGCCAACAGTCTTCTGCTGGTCTCCTGCCAGGCATTAGGTATCATTTATCATACTGGACTATTCGGCATGTACAGTTGATATAACTGGTTAGGTCTGGGCCTTCCTTTATTAGCCATTGCTTACCCACCTTCAGGTTTTGTCAACAGCTAGTCTTTTTTCTTTTCTCCTGTACAGTAGGAATGAAGAATAGTCATTTCTTCTTTTAAAAAATATTTAAATTTTTTTCTCAAAATGAACAATACGGTGTTTTTAAAACTAATTTTTATTTCATTTTATCCCATTCCCCCCTCAAGCCCCCTACCTTCCCTGTGTACAAAAGCTTTGTTTCCATTTCAATAAGGTGTTTTAAGTGCATGTATATTAGGGAATGGTTAAAGATAGCTATTATATACATCGCTATTAGATACATTGCAAGACTTAGGGCCTTACTTACACTCGGAGGAGCTTGAACAGCCGAAAGGGCCTCCAAGATGCTGGACCTATATCCCAGCGATTGCTCCAGGAGCTTGACAAGGAGTGAGAATCACCCAGGAAAGAACACGCCAGCCTAGTTGGAAAACAGACCTTTATTAGTCTGGCCAGATGGCACTCCCTGAACCAAGTAGCTCACAGAGGCAACTGCTCAGGGGCTGAGGTTGTTTTATAGGGTTTTTCTAAACAAAAAGTTCAAACATAGGTGAGGGCATTCACAGAACTACCAGGGGATGAGTTCAAACACACTGTTTATCTTAGGCAGGAAATGCTTTATGGTCACCTTTTGTCATACCATCTGTCCCTGGGTGGGCTGTTAACCAAGTTAGCAATTAGCATATGAAGGTTTGTCTGTAGTTTGAGCAGCTCTTTCCTCATGTTTGATAAGGAGAGGGGGAAGCACAGTATCTGGCCTATTAGCAGGCCAGCATGGAGCCACTTTAGTTTAGTCAGGTCTCACAACATCACATCTCTGCTCTTTGCATTTTCAAAGAATACAATATATTGTCACTATAGTGGCATTGCTGTGCTATTGATCTCTTGAATTTACTCCAACTACTTAATTATAATTATGTGTCATTTGACCAAAGTGTTATGTCTCCTGCTTCCTCCTAACCACTGTAGCCTCTGGTGACCATTAGTCTAACTTGTACTTATTTGAGATCAACTTTAAGATAAGAGTCCACACGTGAGATCATGTATCTTTCTGTGCCTAGCTCATTTCTTTCAACACAATGTCTTCTACCTCTAGCCATATTGTTGGAAATAACAACTTTCTTTCTTTATTGTGTTGAATAGTATCCCAATGTGTATACATTTTTTTCTTTATCCAAAACAGACATGTAGGCCAATTTTGCATCTTGGCTACTGTGAAGAGTATTGCAATAAACACAAGGATGCAGATATCCAGGAATTTCTGCTTTTTTTTAGGGATCCTACACAAGAGGAATAGAACCCAATTATGCCAACAGGCTTCCTATCCCAGTTCCTAAAATGACAGATGATGGGAAGCACATGCGTGTGAAAAATCAGAAGTTGAAACTGAGAACAAAGGTGAGTTTCAGTGACACGCGGGACAAGTAACAGTGAGGGTCATCTTTCTATTGGCCAATGAAGGCTGATATCCAGACTCAAGAATGGACACAGGGTCCTGGGAGGAACCATTCCCTAAGGAAGATTAGAGTTTTTCTATGTTGCTACCCACTTACAAGTACTTGTTCTCCAGAAGCCTCCATATATCCTCATCTGTTTAATGAGTGGATTGATTGGGTTGAATATCAAGATTCATCCTTATTTTGGATTCTATGGCTATGTCCCATGTTCCTGGCACCTAGGCTTCTAATGGAAAATTCAGAGGTCAGGAGCAGCATCACCCATATCTAAGATTCCCTTCAGCCCTAGCTTCCCAAGTATGTCCTGGCTACCTGAGTCTGCCACTCATAAATGAATAGGACATAGAGGCAGATTCAGAACTGGTCCAGATGGTCAGTTTCCTCATCTCTCACTTCCAGGGGAAAATTAATTATAAGTCCCCCATCAGCTCTTAAGGAGTAATAAAGAAGAGTAAAGAAAAGACCCTTGGAACATTATATATTGACTCTCCAAGTGATCTACTAAGGTCATTAGATTCCTGCTTCTTCCTCTCTGCCGAATCTCCTTCTATTTTGAAGTCTAGTCAGATAGCTCAGAAAGGATACTTAATGAAGAATAACATCTTACATGGAAAGTTATGTGGTAAAATTTAGAATTTGATAACTAGAAGTGTCCAGAGATTATTTAGCTCAAATGTCTGTAGAGGCCAAGCAGGTCACATAGATGAGGAAATAGATGGTATACACAGTAAAGGACAGTGAAACTGTGATGAACTGAAGAGCTTATTCCCCATCCAAAGGGGCCAGATGCTACTCAACTCCAGCTAATTATTGTCATGAGGGACTGTGGATGCTGGTCTGCCAGATCATTTGAACTTCAGGGGGAGGATACCAATCTGAATTATACTGTAAAATCTCTTACTTTTCTTAAATGCTGGTAGGCTGTTAAAGGCATGTTTAAAAACTACATCAGCCAAAGAAGACACATTTGTGAGTTTCACTGAATAGGTAGTTTTCATCTTTGATCTGGCCCATTGACCCTTTTTTTAAATAAAGAAACAAGCTCAGGGGGCTGGGGATTTGGCTCAGTGATTCTACTGCCTGCCTTGCCAGCACAAGGGCCTGAGTTTGGTCACTGGTACCACCAAAAAAACAAAACAAAACAAAACAAAAAGACAAAACAAAACAACAACAACAAAAAAACCAAGCTCAGAATGACCAAGGTCTCAGTGCCAGTTGAGTCAGAAGCACATCTGAACACAAGACTGTTCTTTCTTTTTCTTCTTTTTTTTTTTTTTTTTTTTTTTTTTTTTTTGGTTTTTGAGACAGGCTGTCACTATGTAGTTGAGACTGAACTAGAACTCACTATGTAGCCCAGGTTGATCTTGAACTCACAGCAATCCTCCTACCTCAGCCTCCCGAGTGCTGGGATTATAGGCGTGCGCCACCATGCCCGGCTGTTCTTTCAAAGTTGGTCTCTCTTTTTAGTACAACAAAACTAAAACCTTTCTTTCCTTGGTTATGGAATTTGTAACTGCCCAACAAAAAAGACTACCCAAACAAATTTTGGCATTGCAGGAATGTATAATTTATGAAAAGGGACAGAAACAGGTATTGAAATGTGAAGACCAGAAGAAAATAGGGAAACAGTAAGATTAAATAACAGGGTTTTCCAGGGAAAGGTGAAAGTGAAGGTTTCTGAGGGGTGGTACTCAAAGTAGGTACTTTATTGAGCATCATTCATATGTCAGATGCAATGATGAATATTTCTAACATCACATCCATCATTGGCACATCCATAAATAGAGTTATGTGGAATTGGAGGTTATGTTTTTAAAAAATTTTTCTAAAGTCTGATAGCTGGTTAATGACATAGCTGAGTCTTTTTTCCTTCCCAGCTACTCTGCATGTTGCTTCTAGGACTCTCAAAACTTAGGAGATAAGCAAAGACTGAAGAATTCTCATCTAGTTTTAGAGAATCCAGGGAAGCCTTGTTTAGATCAAGTTGGAATATGGAAAGAGTCTTGGACTTTAAAGGGAGGCAAATTTGGCAGACTATTCTAGGGAGAGATTTGTAGGTGAACATCACTACTTGGTTCGAGATTAAGAAGGCTGAGAGAAAAGAATTGCAAGTTTCAGCTCAGCAAGATCATATCTTAAAAAATAAAATGATTTGGGGATGCAGCTCAGTGCAAAGGCCCTAGGTTCAATACCCAATAACACACACACACACACACACACACACACACACATCCAAGGAAGAGTACAAAGCATGGAGAAAGCTAATGTTTAGAAGGAGACTTCAGAGATGTCCCCAGCCCTCTCAGAAGAAAACATGGTGCTATGGTCTTTGCTTTCATGATAAACTCACTCTGCTTTTTCTTTTCTGCTGATCCAGTGTGATTGCTATGTCTTTTGAAGGTGGAGTATGGCTGAAAAAAAAAAAAAAGTTAAACTGGGAGTCCAGTTCAGTCATCTGTGCCAGAACTTTTCATGTTCTGCATGTCATAGTTGCTCAGAAAGTATATGATGGGCAAAGAGAGAGAGAAAGGAAGGAAGCATGAAAGGAAGAGAGGAAGGAAAGAGAAACATCCTGTGGGGAGACTTTGGTCGAAGGAGTGATTGGAGTGAATGTGAAAAGGAAGGGGCACTATGAACAACAGCTCCCAGGCCCGGCATGCAAGGTTAAGTTTAGAGTATGCCTGCAAGACAACAGATAGCAGAACCCACAATAAGTAATTCTCAGAGATATTTGCTTTGTCTATTATGTCCCCGCTGCTCCAATAAGATTGCTTACACTAGGTTGACACGTGTCACAACCCAAACCATCCCGTTCCTTCCCTGTCACTTGTCCAAAACTCCTATACAAATGTTGCGTTTTTCTTCTAATCTTTGTCCTCATCTCCTTGAGTTACAAATAAATAGATAGTTAAATAAAATAACCACAGAGGTCTCAGTTTAGTGCTATTTCCCTGAGGCTCTCTTAAGTTCAAGAAGTAGCCCCTCTGGGTCCCCTCGGTGGCTGAACTAAGTCTTGTTCAGCTCCAAGCAATCTTTTATCCTTTATGTCACTATAATTGTGTACTGCAACAGCACCCCTGTGATAACTTGACAACATTTATATTCTCTCCCTGAACCTCAGATATATCACCTGTAAAATGTTGAGAATACTTTGGGGCAAGTGATCTACTTTGTGAGGCAGCTAAAAAAACAAATGAAGGTTGCAGATGTATGAAAACTTGAAATTCGAATGCCCAGAGTGTGGCAATAACGTCACACAGGAAGAAGTTCCTGTTAGGTGTTGTACGATAGGGTTCATGTTGTACAAACACTAAACCCTGATTTCAGTGAAATAGCTGGTCAAAGAGTACTATGATTTTGTGTTGTAAGTATATCTTTTGTAAGCACATTTTCTGGAAAGTTGTATCCTCAACAACATTTGGAATTCAGCCTTGAAAGGTCATAGATTTGAACATGTAGAAAACAGAAAGAGATGACAGGTGAATTAGGACTTTTATATTTTCTAACTCATGGCTTACTTTGATGCCTTCTCATGTCCCACTCCTCCCTGGACCCCATCATTTTGAAGCAGCAGCCACAGCTTTAAAAGGAAGAATCCATCAGCCCTTGTACCCTAGTCAGGAAAGACTAGAGGGGGCATCTGGAATCCTGAGGAGAGTTGACTCCATAGTTTGACTCTAAGTATTCCCTTTTTAGAATGACTACAACCTGTGGACTGCATACCAGAATCAAGAAACTCATCAGGTCTTGATGGAGGAGAGAAATGTGTTCTGTGGGACATACAATATTCGCATTCTTTCTGATACGTAGGTACTGGTGTCATCATCTAGGTCTTTGGGGCCTTGAAATTACTCACACTGGCATGTTAAGGTTCTCCTGACCCCAGCTGACTTGGAAAGATAATCCTCTCATCACCTCTAGCTTCAGTCCAGAACTAGCCCTCATTCTCCTTTGGATTTTTGCACCATTCTCAGCAACTGGGAAAGGACATTTTTCCTTTATACATTTTGGATATACTGACTGCAACATTGAGCACATGTAATGTGCATAAAATATTTAAAAGATTTTTTTATTGTTTTATCCCTGTTAGGAGTATGCTTGTTTGAACAACAACAAAAAAAAAAAAAAAACAAGAAAACCTCCAAATGACAGACATAGAAAAGCAAAGATCTTCTATAATCTTATTACCCAGAGATAACTACCACTGATACTGATGTCTGTCTGCTAGTTTTTCTTTCATACCTAACTCATGGTTTAAATAGAAATGGGATTATGTTATATATTTTGTAACTGAGTCCAGCAAAACACTGTGGATATCTTTCCATGTTAAATATGAAAATTACATTTATGATAACTGACTGTGTGACATCATTTGGATATGCCACAATAAAGCCCTTTAATAATCAACTTTCTTAGTACTTCAGGCTTAGGCCTTCACTCTTTATTCCCAAGGTTTTGTGGAGGGCACCTCTACATTGATTTTGGTCACAAATCTCATTAATAAATTGTATGTTCGAAACAGACCAGTTAGTATGGAAGAGTAGAGTTTTACGGATAGTGTGGTAATAATTGCTCTTTAGTTGGTTGAACCATAAATATACAAGATGAAATCAAGAGAAAAATACCAAAGATTCACCCTCATATTTAGAGTGATTATAGATTCAAATTTATTGGAACAACACTACTTTTCTCTGTAGTCCTAGTATATTTTAAACATAGCATCCCTTTTTGCAATAAAAAATGTCTTATTTTGTCATCCTATTTGCTAGTAATTCTATGATTGGAAAATTAACTCACCTGGCTTTATTTGCTTTAAGCTTATTGAGAACAAGATTTGTATTTTATGAATCTTTGTATTTCCCATGGTTCCTACTAGCACAAAACTTGAAACCTAATAAATGTTTGGATTTTTGTTAAGAAAAACATAAATGAAAGAAAGAAAGACAGAGAGAGAAAGAAAAAACAAGTGCAACGCATATTGGGGTTCTTTGAGGTTTTCCCTTAAAAAAGGTTTCCATTGTCAAGTAAGTTTGGGAAATATCACATATTCTATTCTCTCTCTTGGGGATTTGGTACACATTTGCAGAATATTTTTTATGTTTATATTTTATAATTTTACCTTTTGTCTTTAGATTTTTAAATCTACCTGTGATAGATTTTATGATGGTGAGAGATAAGATCTATCAGGGCCCATTTTTACTCGGCTTTGCCTTCTGCTCCTTCCTCTTTTGGAAGGCTCTGAATTTTCAATTTGTCACTGCTACAGGAAAAAGTTGGGGTGATTAGTAAGTTCTGAGAAGGACGCTAACTCTTCTTTCATGCACTATCCAAATTCCCACTTCAACCCTGAAACTCAGGTGGGACCAAAACAGAATCATCCATTTTTCTGGGGGAGATTTGGTAGCTGTGTTATCTAATCGGAAGATCCAGCTTCTGGACATCCCACAAGTCAAGGAGTTACCCACTGTGTTTCGCGGCCATGTTGGGAGTATCCGGGCTCTCTTCCTGTGCGAGGAGGAAAACTTTCTCCTCAGCGGAAGTTATGACCCAAGTATCAGGTGAGCAGTCCAAGGAGGCTCTGATTTACCCTTCCATCTAGGACCTGACCGAAGCTCATGGAAGAAGCATGGGTTCCTTTTCAGTTTTGGATTTATCCAGACTATCTACAGTAGCGTCTTTTTGGCAATAAATCCAAGAATTTATGGTTTAAACTTTGAGATAGATTTACAATAATTATCAGAGGTGTCTTCCAGTTGAAGGCTGTGAACTACAAAATATTTCTTTTATAGCATCCTTAGATGAAGACATAATTTATATTTCTTCAGAAGGAAGTAGTTTTTGTGGATATAAAATATAATATATACACAAAAAGTGCTTAAAATGCATGTAATTATGCATTTTAAACAATATAATAAACATCTCAGACTAAAAAATAGAATATTACCTGTCCCCTAACCACAGTGTGCCCTTTTCCTTATTGCTTCCTTTCTTCCTTCCTCACAGAGGTAATAGTACCCTAAATTTTATATTTACATTCACTTGTGGTTCCTTATAGTTTTTGCTGCTTATGCATCTTCAGATATATTATTTTTCCCACTATTGAATTTAACATAAATGAAATCATATTTTAAAAATTCATCAGCACTTGATTATTTGTTTGTTTGAAGAAACAGCTTTATTTAAGAAGAACATAAGCACAACAAAGTACAGTATCTCTGGGTGTGCAGAATATTTCATGTAGAATCTTGAAAGAAAGGTTTGTTTCAACAAAAATTTCCTCTATTAAAACTTATGTGAGGTCTGAGGATTTAGCTCAGTGGTTCCAGTGCCTGCCTCACAAGCACAAGGACCTGAGTTCAATCCCTGGTACCAAAACAAAACACAAAACAAACTTATGTGAAATCAATGCTTACATCAGCACTTGATTCTTAAACTGGGCTCTATTTGTGAGATCCATCCATATTATATAGATAACAGTCATTAATTTATCTTCATGGAGATTCAGTATTTTATGGATTGAATGTAACTCATTTATTCCTCTTTTGGTGGATGTTTATTTGCATTCCTCCCAAGAATGTTCTATGGTACTCTTGGCAGTTATCACTTGGTGCCCATGTGCATGAAGTTTTTTTAAAGCTATCTTCGTGGTAGTGGGGTTTCTAGGTAGGAATACTAAGCTCTTTTCCTAAGTGGTTGTATTAATTCAAAATCCCATCCGAGAGTATGAGATATCCCTCTTTATACATCTTTATCAAAACTTTGTATTGTCAGTCTTTGACATTTTTGCCAATCTGATGGGTATTAAATAAAACCTCTTTGAGCTTTTACCTTTAACTTTCTTGTTTACCAATGAGGTTGAACATCTTTTCATATGTGTTTTAGGGCTCTAAGAAACAGTACCAATAGGATGTGTATATAAATAGAAAGAGATTTATTATAAGCTATTGGATTGTGTGATTGTGGAAGTTGGTAAGTTCCAAACCTGCAGTGTGGTCTAGAAGGCTGGAGCTCTGGAGCTCATAGATTCACTTGTGTGGCCACCAAGTCAGATGCTTTCGGCTCTTTGTAGTACTCTAAGGTCTGTATATATGTTTAAGCTACTTACCTCCATGGTGATGGGCGCTAGGTTGATACTGACTAAAGCTCATTGTATCTTGATATATTTTCATATATGACCTTTTATGAATATTGTGAGATTTTCTTTTTCTTCTTTTTCCTTTTGCCTGCTCTCCCTCCTTCCCTCCCTCCCTCCCTTCTTTTCTTCTCTTGTTTGTAGCGTTGGGGATCGAACACAGGGCCTTTACAGTTTGTAGTTCACTAACTACATCTCCAGTCTTTTTTATTTTTCACTGGATGCAGGGTCTAAGTCACCTAAGTTGCCCAGACTAGGCTTGAACTTGTGAACCTTTTGCTTCAGCTTCCCAGAGTTCTTGGGATTACAGGTGTACACCATCATGATGGTGTGAAATTTATTTTAGGGATATGTACCCAGGAATGAATATATTTAGATACAGGTTAGGTAGCACCTAATTTGACTAAGATATACCAGGTTGAATTCCAGGATGAATGCCTCAGTCTACACCCTCACCAGCAGGCTGTGGATATTTCTACTTCCCTACCAACGTTAAACACTATCTAGCCTTCAAATTCTTGCCAAATGACTTGTGTAAAGTCATTTCCATGTGTGTTAGTAATTCTGGTTATTAATGGGTTTTCTTATTACCTTTCATGACCTCTTTTGTAAGTTGTCTGTTTATGTACTTTTGCTTACTTTTCTGTTAAGATTGCTCTAATTTTCTTGCTGACTTTCAGTTCTTTGTATTTCCTTCTAGATTTTAGTTCCTTGACAGTTTTAAAATAGCAAACACCATCTGTTTTTCTTTCATTTATTGACTTTGTTCACAGTGTCCTTTGTTGAACAAAAATCCTTAATATTGATGTAATAAAATCTAACACTTTTTCAGATTCTCCCCTACCACCATGTCTGTAGTTTATCCCACTTTTAAGTCACAGAGATATTTTCCAACATTTTCTTTTGATAACTTTATGGTTTTTACCTTTTGTATTCAGCCTACCTATTTGTAGTCCAACTTTGTTTGTGATGTTAAGTAGGATTTCCATTTGTTGATTTATTTTTAAATAAAATGAAAGTGAAATAAAGCAGACATACAAGCTTCAATATTGTATGGTTTCTCTTTTATGAGAAACCCCAAGTATAAATAATTTAAAAAACAAAATAAAAGATAGGTAATGTGAAATACGGAGATAGATCTTTTGCAAATGTAAAGAGAATCTAGAAATGAAGGGGGAGGGAAACGAAGGGAAGAGAAATACAAAGAATTAAGATATATTATGTTGATGTACTTACTCCTTAAGATGAATATAAACATTATGTGCTGTAAACATGACTAATAAAAATAAATAAACATAAAAACATCCAAAAGTTTATCAAATACCTTTTCCTTCTTACATTAAAGAACCCAACTTGGACACATGGACTGCCATGTTGCAAGAAACAGAAATTCAAAACATGCTTTTTTTCAGACCACTGGAACTTTGGTAAATGCTCTGTGGTTGCATCATATGCTCTGAACAACTAAGAAGGAATTAGTAAGGCTATAGGACCTTGGGAATGTTAAAAGAAAAGCTCACCATATTCTACCTCTCCCCAGTTTTTATTAGTCATACATTATGTGCCAAACCTCAAATAACCCAGGTAGGTAAGTACCATTGTTATTTCCAATTTACAGATGAAGAAACTGAGGCACAGAATGATTCAATAACTTAGTCAAGATCACACAGCCAGAAAGTGATGGACCTGAGATTGAGGCTCAGGCAACTGGCACCAGGGTCCTCTATTATAACATTATACTTTGTCCTGTCACAAGTGCAGTAGAGCAGTCTGGCTGAAAGGAAAGTCAATGACAGTTGAGAGACCTCAGGCTAATTTTTTTTTTTTTTTTTTTTTTTTTTTTTTTTACC